TGTCGCAGTTTTTCACCGAGAAACCGGAAAAATTTTACAATGGTAATTTAACTGATAATCAACATGTCAATAAAAGAAAAAAAATTGTGTTTGAGAGTCGACGATTTACAGTCAGTGCTCCTAGTGGCATTATTGGAATATCGGAAGGATCAGTGAAAACCAGTTAGAAAGATCATTTGAGCCTAAGAAAAGTGAAACCATGATTGGTCACTCAATTAAAAATTTTAAAATTATGAGCAAAGTCTCACTATGTTTTGCTCATAGTAAAATACTATTTGTGAATTAGAAAAACTTAATTTCACTTAAACTAATGATAGCCAATTGGTTTATTTTSATTAACCTTCGAGACTTGATATTTAATTTTATCTCTAGAAAACTTTTATCTCTTCTATTTCTAGAAACAAGATCTCACTGGCACTCAAAATACTTATATACCTTGACTTAAGTGAATTTTAGCTCTTTTTGTAACTTACTATATCCATTACACTTATTTATAAATAAATACTATATTAAACAAACTGGAAAAACAAAACTGAGGTATCTGAAATTATGTATTAAATGTATTTGCAAAGACATATAATAGCAAAAATGTGATTATAAAAATTAAATTACGTTTGTTATTCTCATATTTTACAAATTTCGTCAAGAGTCAATTATTTGTAAAAGCAGGCAATTTAAATATTAACGGTATTAAATGTCAAAAATATGATATTCAAGAAAACCTATTCCAATTGTATTATTAATACGCCTTATCACTCAGAATATGTATTAAATTACAAAATTACCCAATTATAATGCAAATTTTATTTCTGCAAACTTTTTATATCAATTTACATTAAATTAATTAAAACGTTGCGATTGTGAAAAACAGCACACTCGTTTAAAATTAATGAAAAAGCTTACGCCGTCTTCCTCCATGCCTTTCAAGCATTTAAATGTTATTAAATAACCTGGTCATATGACACATACATATGTAAACCACTACACACAAAATAAGTGCAAATAATAAATGCAATCGCTTGTGGATTAAAAAATATATTGGTGAAGTGTATTCTAAGAAATAAGACACTTAAAAAATGTTTCGCAAAGCAAAACATACATACATATAAAAGCAAATTTATGAAAAGCAGCACAACAAAAAAAAACAAAAAAGAAAACAAAAAAAAAAGGAAATATATTAACTTCGTTTGCACCAAGGAATACCTGGAGCTATACTTGGATAAGGCTAAGTGTCAAACTTCGGGAATATCATATCTCGTCAAATAAAAAAGAAGAAATACAAGGACTGCATTTTGATCTTTCAGTTTGTATGGGAGTTATTTGCTATAGCGGTACGATCTGAACAATTCCTCCGGTGCTTATATTCAGATTCAATTTCAGGTCGATTTCTTGCTAAATAAAATATTTTTTATATATGCAAGGATTGGATTTTTCAGTGTATATCGGAGCTAAATGATACAGTGGCCTGATAATGGTGGTTCGACAAATGAGCAGCTTCKTGGGGAGAAAAGAAAGTGTGCCAAATTCCAGAGCGATATCGAATAAACTAAGGGATTATTTCGCGCATACACTGTCGGATAGGCAGACGCATATGGCTATATGGACTCAGTTCAACAGGCTGATCATTTTTACATACATGTACTTATGATGTTTCTGACGTTTCCTTCTGGCTATTGCAAACTTCGTTCCAAACTTAAGTAACCTATTCATGGTATAAAMATTAATGAAAAATAAATAAAAATCCAAATATCGCTTTTTCGCGCCCGCCACCAATTAGTTAGTTGAAAGCTATAAATTATTACGYTAAGAAATCTTAAAAACACTTTAAATACACACCCATACAAATAAATGCCAGCCATTAGGCACAGATATGTGTCCATAAAAGGCTATTAAGCATTTAAACGTGACTGCGGCTACGGTCTGCTTTTAGTCAACTGACAGTTGTATGCAAATGACAATCAAACGCCATGTTAGGTGTCAATTAATTGTTATGGATCGTCATTGATACGCGATAAATTTAAAATTGACTCAAATCGCTTTGAAAAACTTAGTAGCGACCGGCGGCCGAGCGAAATCACGTTTCTTCATGCAACAAGATGCAAATTATTAGTTGTTGTAGTACGAATAACCAGGTGACCACAGCGCGGCTTTGCATGCTAATGCAAGGCAAATGCAAAGATTTATGAAAATAGGYACAAATTTGTTAATTTGTGGGCGATTTAATTTGATATATTATTTTTTTTTTAATTTGGTATATGTTGTTTGTAATTTGTTTTTTCTCCCGCTCTTAAACAACACGACATTGCATTAAAGCACATACACAAACACAACAAAATGTTTGAAGACAATTTTATAATTTTTTTTGTTATTGTTTTAATGTTGTTATGTGGGTGCAAGTGCATTCGAGCACCCTCGTGTATTCGCACTTTGACAGCCAGCAAGCGCTTGAGTGTCTAATTGTTATTTATGTCATTACTGACATTTGACACTACTTAGTGCGCACGAGTCATTCGGTCGCGAGTATATGTTTCACCTTCAGATTAAGTCATTTACAAGACGCTTGCTTTTGGCTTTTTCGTTATACACTCATTTTATACTTTTTTTTAAGACATCAACTGATTTAATCTTTACTTTAATTGATTTTGTTCGGTGTTGTGTGTTTATGTGGAGTTAATTTATATTTTGTGTCTCTTTACTGCAACAAAGTCTTTAAATATATAAATTAAATAATATTTGATATAATAAATAAATATATAAAAATCTAAAAGCGTTTAATAGAAATTTTTTCAACACTACACAAACTATGACAAATAAATATTAATTTTGCTGAATATTTAAGAATTTTTTGAAACGTATTAAAAAATATTCGATTCAAATATTAATTGTATATTTATAAAAATTATACATCCAATAAATTGTATATTGTACTTACTTGGCGTTTCACTAAAAACTTCAGAGTTGGTTCAGTCAAAAATCTGCAATAAAATTTATTTCAAAATCGACATTAGTTTATTTTGTTTTTATAAAATTAATATTTAAGATGCAATTGAAAGTTCGAAGAATTTATGTTGAAATATACAATTCATTTGAACGCTGATACCATACTCGATAGCTGCTTCATCATAGGTATTATCTGACATGTTTTCACATTTCGACAATGTAGAGCTTATTTGAACTAAAAAGTTGTACATTATCATATCCGTCATTATTAGTACTATCCTTTATCATTACTATTTCCTAATGGCGGAACTTGCCAATTTTCAAACGGATTCAGACGATGTCATTGAATAAAAGTCACGAAAAATCAATATCGATATCGCATTTCAATTGTGCTAATGCCTTTCAATACAAATCATTATTATTTTATCAAACATTACCAAATTACTTGGTAGTCTAGCATATGAAGAACCCATGACATTTCTTTATTACATACGGAATACAATAATGCCATGGTTTTTAACATTTCGAACTAACACTTTTTTGGCCAAACCCAGAAAAAATTGGGTTTCTCATTTATTTTCGTATGTTATCATTCATATGCATTTGATATGACAACAAAACCTATTAACTGTCTGTGAGTCCAAAAAAGCACAAAAGCGTTCACTAGGTTCTCARCCATTTTTTTCGTCAAATTTATAAACCTATATATCGTCGGTAGTTATAATGCTCTCCATGAATGTAGGTTCGCAATTCGCATGATCAAGCATGCCCAAAGAGGCCTATTYACGCTACTCTTTTTGAAAAAAATTCAACTTTATCGGGACGAGTCAAGCAAGAACACGTTTTATACCCAAAATATTCACCAAAAATCATTCGAACGGACTCGTGAAAGATATAGGGCTCTCTTGCCATCTTAGAGCAAATATTGTTTGCTTGACGAYTTCCAAGCACCATGTCCTTCACTTTTTAATATGTTTATCAGTAGAAGAGGTCGAAGGTCGTCCAGAACGAGGCATGTGTTCAACGATATCTCGACCGTCTTTGAAGGCTTTGTACCTCTTCTTGCGGTTTGAATATTTCACATTACTTAAATTTTAGTCCCATCTGTTGTAAATACGTAATATCCAAGCCCATCTTTGAGAATTATTATTCATAATGCTTTAACTACGGTATTAAAGACCAATTTAGTCACGGTGGAGACATCTATTTCGGGCATATATCATATACCATAACTGCCAAGTTAAAACAATTCGATTTTATGTCAACCATAAAATAATAGCATATATGTACATCAAAATCAATAACACTTGAATGTTTAAAAAAGGTTATAAGCAAATTGAAAAAAGATATAAAATAATTAGTTTTAAGAAATTCCTTAGGGATTTAGTACTCTGACTTATCTCATCTTATTAAAAATTGTAAAGCCACAAATTTASTTTTTGACAATTACCTATAAATTTTAAATATTGGGTTTAATTAAAGTGCAAATGAAGGCATAAATTTTAKTTACATTCCTTAGTAATAAACCAAYATTCTAACATTGAAATAAATGAGAAGTCAATGTGGATTAGAAAAGATGTTTAATAATTATATAAATATTTCAATTAGGAAAGTCAAATTGGTTCAGYAATAGTTATAAATTTAACTAACTAATTAGTCTCTATATTAATGTTAAATACCTACATATGTATTTAATCAAATAGTTTAATAATTATGCCATGTGYCTTCACTGGTCCTTGTGATTAAATTACAAACAGACTTCATATATCTTTTCACATTTATAACTGTATAACTCATTACACTATAAATTTAACAAAATATTAAAAAAAAGTAATCATATTAAAATATTTCATTGTCTTAGTTAGCATAAAATATGACAAAACAATTTAACTAGCTTCTCCAACAAAGCCACAAAATTAATAACATTAAAGCAATATTACAAAGTATTTAAATGAACTTCGGTGAGCACCGTTCAAAGGCAAAAAATTATTGTTTTATTCTGCCCTCGAAGTAATAAGTTTTGTTTTCAATTATGTTGTGTTCTCAGAAATTGCTCAAACCACTTTCCACTTCAAGATAATTAATTTGCATGGTTACAGAGAAATATGCTAAACACATGCTTAATGAAATTTGTGCTGACAAAGCTCAATCGTCAAAGGCGAGTTTTCATTAAAATTGATATGAATTAAAAAGTGTTGTTATTTACACAGAATTTTTATTATTATATTAAAGATTTCAAGTATTGTGGACTGGGTACTTTTGTTTCTGCTKTTTGAAGCATAAAATCGTGAAAGGTCTCTACGAGACTAAAAAAAGCATGAATTYAAATTTTGCTATATTATGAATAATTTTGGATTGCTGACTCTAGTACTCTGTAATCCGCTACGAATTATAAAACCGATATGGCAATTTGAAAGAAAATAAAAAATTGATTTCATGGTGTTATATTTTTTTATCTGCAAGGTCATTATGACAAATATTACTTTGATCTATAAGTACAATAAATTTCAATAATTTTACGAGTATATACTGCATATTCATCATTACTCTGGATCTTATGAACTTTGGTATTCAAGCTCTATGTACTATATGTAGTAAAAATATCCATGGGTATAGTTGTTTTGTACGGGAACTCTCATCWAAACGGTTRTTTTTCGTTSAGAATAAAKAATTSTTCTGATAAGTATTTAKCATTATTTGTGAAACTGGAGCATAAAAATATGTTCCAAAACTGTCAAATTTCTATTTGATGGAAACCAATAAGTATCAAAGACCTTATAATTATTCGTCTGGAAATAATTTATAACTCACTGTTACTTACTTATTCAGGTGGATCAAAAAAGTTATTATTTTTTTCATTTTATACTCTAAATTGGTGGGTAGACAACTAAAAAAAAATTCTCTCCAAGTATTAGCTCTTAATATTAATAGCAAGATCGCTTTTCGATTTTCTATTTTKTCTTTATTATTGGAAAGAAATGGATTGCATTGGATTCACATCGCAGTATCTGCTTTTTGATTAAAAAAAATTTCGTCATGAGGCATTTTTCCGAGTTTCTTGGCCCATTGTATATTCCACAAATGTGAGGTATTAGAAGCTTTAAGACACATTGGTGTAAAGATTTACTTTTTGCCTTAAATCATTTTCATTGGGATTCCTGGTTAAATTTTCCCATATATACTAACCGCTTAAAACTTATAAATCTGTGCTACACTCTCCAGTCGTAGGAAATGCTTGATATAATATTTCTTGCAAAGCTTATGGATGGATCAACCAGGTTACTTATACTTAGACTTATATTTATACTTATACATATACTTATACTTATACTTATACCTATACTTATACTTATACTTATACTTATACTATACCTACACTTATACTTATACTTATACTTATACTTATACTTATACTTATACTTATACTAAATAAGTGCAGAAAAAAAAAATTAAATTTGTTATGTACAATATTTAAGGGGGTTTTCAATAGTAAGGTTTGCCATTTCATCACGGAAACATATACGATCCAACAACGAGTCGGAGTTATTAAAATTTACTTCCGAAATTCGGAGTYAGTGGCCGAAGAGTTAGTAGACAAATTATTATACGATAAGTTGTCTTTGAGCTTTGTCTAATTTTGAATAGTGGCGAATGGAGCAAAAAATTGATGTAATATAGTGAAACACCATCAAATAGGGATAGCACAGTGCTTTTTTAATTTTATTCTCTTTCACCGCGTTTTTCTTTTCCGTTTTCGAATTTCAAATTTAATATCACTTATTAACTTTGTTGTTAATTTTCGATTCAAAGCTAAGCGAGCAAAGAACCGCCGAATGGAAAATGGCTTTAGCAATGTGAAAAATGTATAACAATAAGAAATTTGATCAGCAATTTTAAKGAAATTATTTTGGWTTATTATTGCTYAATACGTTTATTTGATTAATCCAKAAGGARCTTGCAGAAATKTAAAAWCACAAAATATTATTCAAATTATTGCCTGCTCAAGTGGTTTAAGTGACTCAAGGGTACAGCAATTCTGATGGATTTGGGAATTGCTGTCAGCAAATAACCAAGCAAAATAAACATGAAGTTATTAAAAAATAATCTCAATTTCGCTTGTTYATTATGCATCCCCTAAAAGCACCGATTTTTTGTTCTTGCTTTGTTTTACGTTTTCGATAAGCTGAAACTGTGTGGGCAGTAAGAAGTACATCTGACATTGAATTYCATTATGAAGCCTTTTATTAAATACATATATGCATGTATAATATTAATGAAAAATGTGTATTCATTAGACTCCGTGATGGYGACGAGACTAAACAATACGAAATGCCGCCACAAAGCGCAATCATTCAAAAATAGAAACTCACGCTCGCTGATAACAAAACATTCGGGCTGGGGAGCTGTGTTTTCCAAAGCGCTACATTTGAACAGAGTTCGGCCGATTTTCGCAAAATACAAAGTTTCATTTTTTTTTTGTGAAGCGGCTTGTATGTGTCAGTGTTTATTGACACAAACTAAATTATTGACAAAAATTTTGAATATTTTCGATTTTACTAGTTGTTGGTTTTGCATTGTCGCCTTCACAGTCGCATTGGCAATAAAAGTTTATGCCGGCAATTATGATTGTTGGAGGTCATTTTTGGAGACGTTGTACGTGCCTGTGCGACTGGCCGACTGTCCGAGTGGCTGRCTCGCTTGTAAGGCAATTTAATTAGCATTTTTAATTGAAACTGTTTTATGATCCTTTCAACAGCTCGACGGCTCAGCAATTTTGTATGCAAACATATTATTTATGAATGTATGTATATGTTTTAAGAGTGTTTGTTTGTGTTTGCACTTTGCATAAATCGCAGTGGACTGTACTTTTTTCGGTGTCATAATTTTATGCTGCCACTTGAATGTGCCATTCACAAAAAATGTGAAGCTGTATGCACGAGTGTGTATGTAGATTTATTTTTGTAAGATCTGTGTGCGTCCGCGAATAGGCCACACAGACGTGACAAATATGGTAAATATGGTATGTTTGGCATCC